AATCGGGTATCGGAATCGATACGTTGGCCTTTCGTCCCGTGCTGCCGTCGACGGAGCGCGAGTTGGAACAAGCACAACCGCTACAAGTCGTGATGCCTTCGCCTTCGGTGCCAAAATCAGATTTGCACTCGATGCTGCAATAATTCAGCTGCTTCGGGGAGGGAGTCGGAAGAGCCGTCGGCCCTAAGATTCCCAACTTTTGCAAACTCGGCATCCCTTGATCTCGCGCGATAGACCCAAAATTGTTCGCCTGGGAGGTGCATATGCCGCTACTGGGACAAAATCGGCATTTGTTGATGCGCCCCCAGATTTCTGGCCTCTCAGATTGTCTCGCCGACAAGAGCCAAACAGAGCGCGTTCTGTGGGCGCTTGGAGGGGGGTGGTTCAGAACTGGACCCCCGCCCCCCCCTTGGACTTTAAGGAGGGGAGGTTCGAACCCCCCTCCCGCCCCCTTCCCCTCCTGTCACGGGGTGGGGGGGGTTCGAACCCCCCCCTCCCCCCCGTGGTGGTGTGGTGGTGTGGTGGTTGGTGGTGGTGTGGTGGTAGTGGTGTGGTGGTTGGTGGTGGTGGGGGTGGTAGGTTGTGGTGGTGGTGGTGGCAGTGGCGGTGCTGGTGGTGGTGGTGGTGTGGTTTGTGGTGGTGGTGGTGGTAGTTGTGGTGGTGGTGGGTTATGGTGGTAGTGGTGGTGGTGGCGGTGGTGTGGTGGTTTGTCGTGGTGGTTGTGGTGGTGGTAGTGGTTGTGGTGGTGGTGGGTTGCGGCGGTGGTGGCGACAGTGGCGGTGGTAGTGGTTGTGGTGGTGGTGGTGGTGGTGGTGGTGGTGTGGTGTGGGTGGTGGAGGTTGCTGCGGTGGTAGTTGGTGGTATGGTGGTGGTGGCGGTGGTGGTTGTGGTAGTTGTCGTGTGGTGATTTGTGGTGGTCGTGGTGGTGGTGGCGGTGGTGGTGGTGGTGGGTTGTGGAAGTGGTGGTGGTGGTGGTGGCAGGGTGGTGGTGGTGGTGGTGGTTTGTGGTGGTGGTGGTGGTGGTTTGTGGTGGTGGTGGTGGTGGTGGTGGTAGGTTGTGGTGGTGGTGGTGGTGGTGGTGGTGGTGGTCGTGGTTGTGGCGGTGGCGGTGGGTGTGGTGGTGGTGGTGGTGGTGTGGTGGTTTGTGGTGGTGGTGGTGGCAGGGCCCCCCCCCCACGCCGGTCCGAGATGGCCCCAGGACGGCCCAAGAGGCGCCCAAGACGGCCTAAAGGAGCCCCAAAACGGCTCCCAAGAGGCACCATCCAACCGGCCCGAGCTTTCCAAACGGCACCGAAAATGCCCCAAGATATGCCAACACAGCGTCCTGGACACCCCAAGAGGCCTCCGAGGGGCACCAATAGGCCAACATCGGCGAATTCCCTTCGTAAACGCTCGTTGTCAGCATCTACAACTTCTCGCCGTCCCGACGCTCCAAGACGGCCCAAGACGCCCCCCAGATCGCCCCAAGACGGCCCAAGAGGCACTCAAGAGGCCCCCATGACGGTCCACGAGGGCCCCAAGACGGCCGAAGAGGCGCCCAGGACGGCCTAAGGGAGCCCCAAAACGGCCCCCGAGAGGCACCACAGACCCCCACAGAAGCCTCCAACAGGCCACAGCTTCCGAAGAGGCCCCAAAAAGACCCCAAGAGACGCCAAAACAGCCTCCAAGAGGAGCCCAAACTGCTTCCGCAAAGCACCCTGTAAGCCTCTTGGGCCCCCTAGATTAATACGGCGACGGCCAGAGACTATACATATACATATACATATATATATATATATATGTATGTATGTATGTATGTATGTATGTATGTATGTATGTATGTATGTATATATATATATATATCTATATAGTATGTGTATATACACACAGATCTGTATCTAGATATGCGTACATGCACACATGTTAGCCAGCGTGGACCCCCAAACATGTGTTTCTAGCAATCCGCCACCGTGCCGCTGGGCCAGGCGTGGGCGTGTCCTCGGGTCCGGGGCCCAGTCCTCTAGGCCTCCATCTCCACTCCGGAAGAATCCTTCTCAGGGGCCCGGACTCCTCGCTCTCAAATCTCCCGGGGCTTGGCGCGTGCCCCCTGGGGCTTCCTGCGTGCCCTCTCGGGCTTCGCACCATTTTTGCGGAGGGCCCCAAGACGGGCCCCCAGCGGCCTGCAAGGCGGGCCCAAGAGGGCCCCGAGACGCCCAAAGATCGGCACAAGACGCCCAAGATGGCGTCAAGATGGCCCAAGAGGCCTCCAAGACGCCCCAAGAGGCCCCCCAAGAGGCAAACACAATTGATGTTCCTTAGGTGTTTGAAGGATTTTGGCGTTCTCGCCTTTCAGCTTTCCAGCGCTCAAAGACGGACCAAGAGGCCCCCAAGGCCAAACGGCCCAAGAGGCCTCCAAGTGGGCCCCAAGACGGCCTAAGAGTGCCCCAAGACAGCCCAAGATCCGCCCAAGACGGCCCAAGGAGGCCCAAAGACGGCCACAAAAGGGGCCCAAGAGAGAGAGAGGGAGAGAGAGAGAGAGAGAGAGAAAACACGAACCGAAAATCCGAGTTTTCCGCTCCAAGAGGCCCCCAGGAGGCCCAAAGAGGCGCCCAGGAGGCCCCCAAGATGCACCCAAGGTGCCTCAAGAGGTCCCAAGAGGCCCAAAAGAGACCGAAAAGAGGCCCCGAAACGGCCCCCAAGAGGCCTCCAAACCGTCTCCCAGAGGCACCCGAGAGGCCTCCCAGGAGATCCCAATGAACATCCAATATCCGCCTAGGCCGCAGCAACCAGACACACCACGCTTTCCATGGCGCGTGCTCCACCATGTGTGCATAATACATACTAGGGAACCGGATTGTATGTAAACTCACAGTTGCTTTGCAAAGAAATCGCACAATTTCAGACACAAGCGAAGTCACACAGACGCGTCTCGATTGACGGGTACTTGCGAACTTGTGCGCGAGCTTGCGTTAGCAAGCCCAGTGCTGATCCTGTCGACCGAAGACTCTGGGACTAAGATCAGCCCCGGCGCGCAAAAATTAATTGAGCGCACCACTGACGTCGAAGTGCGCCTGGATCTGCCAGCGCCAGCTACATATATTTGTCAGCAGGCCATCCCTTACAAGGCTGCGCCGCTCGGGCATGAGCCCCACATTGGATATCCCGAAGAAGCACCACTCGTCCCCAACACCGAGCTGGCGCAGCACTTCTCCCCGCCAGCTGCCCAGGGACTACCAGTGAGGTCGGACCCGGTACGAGGCATGAGCCTCGCCCAAGCCTGACCTACCTCGCCCTCGCTCCACTCCACCCCTCGCCCCTCCTCTCGCCCCATCCCCTCTGTCCCCGATCCCCCCACTTCTCCCTCGTTCCTTCCCTCCCCCTGCGCATACGCTCCGCCAATCCCTCGCCTGATCTCCCTTCTCCTCTCGTCCAGCGTCTCCTCCAACAATCGCCCATCTCCGCCCCCACTCCTCCCCTGCAGCTGTCTCCCAGCGGCTCTGCTGCCGGCACCGTCTTCACTTCCTGTCCACGAGCGACTCCCACCAGCTTCCCCTCGTGCGCCCCAATCGCTCTGCTCCCACCCGGCGGGCTCCGTGCATTTTTTGCTGCCCCTTGGCTTCCGGACCCTGGCCGCGCGAACGGCCGCTGCCTCAAAAGGAACCGCGCGGCACTGTGCCGCGGGCCGTCCTGCAGGAGAAGCGCCAGCACCTAGACGACCTGCTTGTCGATGCCGCAGGCCGCCTCGACCCTGACCAGGGCGGGAGCTGCAACCGTGCCAGCGCGCCCGCCGAAGCACGGAAAGAGGCAGACGGGCCATCCGTGACGTGCGCGGCGCGGAGGCCGCCCCGCATGCCTTCGCTGGCCAAGTGCAGGCGCCCGGGTCCTCCGATTCTGTCCGCGAAAGCGTGGAAGCTGTGGAGTGCTGCGTGGCCCGGGCACGCATGAAGTGCAAGTTGGCAAACTCAACCAAACATGCAACATTGGTATGGGTTGGTCGCCCTTTGGCGGTTAACGAGTGCCGAGCCAACAAGAGGGCTCTCCGCTCGAGCGCCCATGCCCAGACACGCCTCCCCACGTCTAGTGGTCTCGCGACTCATGGTGCCAGTAGAGGGAGCGCAGGCCTAGTCAGCTGCGGAGCTGGGCATGATTTCCTCTGGTAGGGGCAACGCACGTAGACCCCTCCGTCCTGCAGCCACGCCTCGAGCCCCTTCTGAGCCGAGTGTGCTCCTCCCCTCAGCGCTCCGACTGCGATCGCAGCCACGACACCCGGGAAAACATGGAGGGGGAGAGCTGGGAAGCGCGGCGCCCCGAGCGGCCAGGTAGCCACCCGGGCGCCACTCGAGGGAGCCCCGGCACCGCGGCGCCGAGAACCAAGCCGGGCCGGGCCGGGGCGGCGGCGGCGGGCCGCCGGCTGCGCTGCCCCGTGCGAGGCGAGAAGGCGAGGCTCCGACGGCCACCGCGGGCAACGGCCGCGGCGCGGAGCGCCCGCCACCGGGCCAGCCGACGTGCGCGGCACCGGCAGTCCGCGCCCGGGACCTCCCGCGGGGAGCTGAGCCAGAAAGGCCGTGAGCGAAGCGACGTTTGACAGTCGGTGGCTGCGCTGGCGGAGGCGCGCCCCTCCTGCTCCTCCGCCTCGCTTCCTCGGCCCTCCTCCTCGTCCCCCCTCTTGCGCGTCCTGCCCCTCCTGTCTTTCTTTACTCCCCTGCTCCTCCTCCTCCTCCTCCTCCTCCTCCTCCTCCTCCTCCTCCTCCTCTTCCTCCTCATCCTCCCCCTCCTCCCCCGCCTCTTCCCTGCTTCTCCTCCTCCTCCTCCTCCTCCTCTGCTCTGCCTCCTCCTCTAACTATTCACTCCCTCTCCCTCTTCTTCGATCTCTGCCCTGCCTCCTGGACCTGCTCTTCCCTCCTCCCCCCTCCCGCTCCTCCTGCTCCCGTGCCCCTCCCCCCTCGCTCCCTCCCTCCCGTTCTTGGCGCTGCCCCGTCCCGCGCACCCTGCCGCTGCAAGACGGGGCCACGACCGGGGCCTCAGGACCAGGGCGTCCAGCTGCCCTTCTGGGGCCATCTCGCTCCGCCGCCTCGGCCGCCGCGCCGCCGGGACCAGGAAAAGCAGAGGTCAAACAATCCACCTCCATAATAACCACCCCGACACGCGAAGTCGTTTAGCAAACGCGCCCAAAGAAGGAATCGAACAGGGCAGGGCTGTGAAGCAAACGCCCAGGGCCGTTCAGTAAACGCCAATTGTCCGGTCCAGGCGGTTTTTCCTCCCTTGACAAAGGGTGAGGGTGAGGAGGGACAACAGGAGGGAGGATGGAGGGCGAGGTCTCAGGAAAGGGGGGGGGGCGCCAAGGGGGACGGGGCGAGTGAGGCGGCCTGGCCCCCCCCCCACATGCTCCCAGCAAGGCTCCTCAAGCAAGGCAGGGTGGCTTCCAAAGGGGCGGAGTGCCTTCTTGGACAGCCTCCCCGACACCATCCTGACTTATTCGAAACCACATACGGTGGCTTATCCTAGTGGCGAGCGGCTTGCCATCACGAGGCAAGTGTAGCCTCTGTGCTTTTTGTGCTTCCCCCTGCCGTCCGAAAGCGATCTCCAAACACATCGCGACTTGACGCGTCTCTCAGTATGGCCAGCTCCAGAAAACTCGAACCCGCACATGGTGATGCTTCACTTCTGCTTCCGCCGCCTTCCACCGGCCTTCAGTGCTTTGCACGCGCCGCGCCCGATGTCCAACGCCAGGACGTCTCGTGCGGGGCCGAGAGAAGCGGCCGATGAACCGGCGCATGCCGCAAGACGGTCTACGCCGCCTCTGGTGGGCAAGGCACTGCGGGGCAGGCCCCCGGGCCCCTCCTGGGTCCAGGGGGGGGGCTCACCCTGCCCGGGCACTGCTCTGCCTCATTCCCCAAGCAGTGCCTGCACTGAAAGGGTCCTGGCGGAAATGGAAGGATTTGGCGATGGCTCCCCGCCGATTCTGGTAGCCGGCTGGGGTCCCCGGTTCCGGGCTCCTCGGGCCCAAGGGGCACGGGCGGGCTGCGCAGCCGAAGGGGGAGCGGGAGTCGAAGACCAGCAATCTCGCGGATCCGAAGAGAGAGACTCGGGCGAGACGGCGGGGCACGGGCGAAGTGCGCTCTGAGCTGGACGGCGGGAAGCGCCGTCCCAGGGCCAGCCAGTTCATTCAGCGCGTCGTCTCTCAGAGGGCAGAAAAAAATCCACCCCGATAATAACCACCCCGGCACGCGAAGCCGCTTAGTAAACGCCCCCACTGAAGGAATCGAACAGGGCAGGGCTGTTTAGTAAACGCCCCCTCCTCCTCTCCCTCCTCCTCCGTCCTTGTCGTCCTCGTCGTCGTCGTCCTCCTCCTCCTCATTCTCCTCCTCCTCCACCCTCCCTCCTCCTCCTCCTCCTCCCCCCTCCTCCTCCTCCCTCCTCCTCCTCCTCCTCCTCCTCCTCCTCCTCCGCCTCCTCCTCCTCCTCCTCCACCCTCCCTCCTCCTCCTCCTCCTCCCCTCCTCCCCCCTCCTCCCCCTCCTCCTCCCCTCCTCCTCCTCCTCCTCCTCCTCCTCCTCCTCCTCCTCCTCCTCCTCCTGGGCCGTTCAGTAAACGCCAATGGTCCGGTCCAGGCGGCTTTTCCTCCCTTGATTCGGTGCGTCGTCTCCCCCGCCGCGGGTTGTGGCGATGCGGAGCTGCGATTCGGAACGCGACCTCTCGACCGCTCTGCCGCCGCTGCTCCAGTGACAGCGCGTAGGGTGAAGTCGGGCACGTCCCTCTACGGGAGGAGCGTTCAAAACCAGTCTAAAACTAGCCTGGGGACGATTGTTTTACTATCTTTGACCATGTTTGGGTATTTCGTTGATCATTTTTAAGGTTGTCGTACAAGACCCGCCTGTAGGGGGACATGCCCGACCTAAGCGCAGGGGCACTCCCCACAGACGTGGTGAATGTAGCCACGGTGGTAGCCGATCTGAGTCGCCCAGGCGGCATGCCGAACTCAATCTACATGTGCTAGAGAGGAAGCAGTATGATGGATATTCCTGGGCTCACCCCCCCACCACCACCACAACGACAAACATGTCGCAGACGAAGGCGACGTAATGTCTTGCGCACTGGTCTGAAACGGGTGTGGCACTCTGATTGAAGCAGGGGCTGAAGACCTGTAGTACCTTCTGCTAAAAAAGATCAAGTGCAACTCGAATGTTGGTTGCACTCGGAACACTGCGAAGGGCCAGATTGCCACTCCTGCGCTCCAGCCCCCTCTGTGCCACTGTCAGAGTGTTGATGGTGCTCGCTCAGCTCAAGCCCCTCGAGCCAGCGGCCAACGCTCGCCCAACCGCCAGAATACATGATGGTCGCTGTCGGGCGCCCCACCCAATCTCCGCTTCAGGAGACATGGCGCGCCGAATCTGCAGGGCAGAATTCTGTCGGCCTGCGACGTGCGACCCCAGCAAGGTACAGTCGGGGCGTTGACCTAGGGAACCCTAAATAAGGAACGAGGCCCCTTTTTTCCATGAGTTAACCTTCGATTTCCTGTCGAAAACATAAGGAAAACCTGAGGCAAGCTGTGAAACACTCAAGGAACGCGGAGCCCCTCCCCAACGAAAAGGGTTCCTTGTTCAGGGCCCCGAGTTTATCGGAACGCTCGAAATCACCTTCAACCGTCGAAACTTTCCGCCGTCCTTTCGGCGGCGGACCCGTCACCTTTCGCTGGCTTTCGTCGACGGCGAGATGCGCCGAAAGCGAGGCACTGTCTGGAGCGAGCCACGGGGGGGCGTCGACAAAAATCCGGCGCCCGCCCCACCGTCACCATCCACGCAACTTCCCCCCCCTCTCCCCCTTCCCCCTCCATTTGCCCCCCTCTCCCTTCCCCCATTCCCTTCCTCCCTCCCTTCTCCGCCTCCTCCTCCTCCTCCTCCTCCTCCTTTCCTTTCCCTGATCGATAACTCCTCCCTGTCGCACCCCGAAGCCAGTCGAAAGGGCGGGCCGGACGTTTCGCCTGAGGCTTCCTCACCATGAACGACACTGACGCTTCAATAATGGCAGCAATTTCACATATTGAGGGCGGGTTGTTTTCAAAATGTGGCTCTCGCTTTAACGAGGCGCACAATCGTTTTCAAAGTTGCACGGGTTCGCGGATTGAGGGCGGGTGGTTTTCCAAAATGTGGCTCTCGCCTTAGTGCCGCGCACACTCGTTCTAAAAAGTTACACGAGTTCGCGGATTGAGAGCTGGTTGTTTTTGAAATGTGACTGTCGCCTCAACGCCGCGCGTATTCGTTTTAGTTCACGGATTGAGAGCGGGTGTTATCGAAATATGGCTGTCGCCCCAGCGCCGCGCATCTTTTTTTATAACACTTGCAAGAGTTTCGCGGATTGAGGCCGGTTCGTTTTGCGGCTCGTTTTCAAAATGTGGCTCTCGCCTTAGCGCCGCGCACACTCGTCTGAAACATTTACAACAGTTTCGCGGATTCCCATGGTCATCGTGCGAGAAATCGTGTTTAGGAAGGATTCTGGACTGTGAGGGCGCAACAATTATGCTGATTCGCGGCGTTTATGCCTCAATAGTGTTGCTCTGGCACGATTCTGGGTCGTCAATACGCAGCTATCGTTTTGACTCGTGGCGTTGGAGTCCCGAGCATGTTGTTTTGGCACGCTTCAGGGTCCTCAAACAGTTGAATCCCAACGAGGCAGTTCCCTCAGTGAAAATGAACCCTTGTAGGCCTATGAAGAGGGAGCTTGGAGGGTGGGTTTGTTCCAACATCGTTGATGAATCTTGCGACTGCACTGGTCCTCCTTCTCCTCCCCCTCCTCCTCCTCCTCCTCCTCCTCCTCCTCCTCCTCCTCGTTCTCGTCCTTCTCCTCTTCCTCCTCCTCCTCCTCCTCCTCCTCCTCCTCCTCCTCCTCCTCCCCCTCCTCCCCCTTCATCTCCCTTGTGCAATGCACACCGCACGTCGCACAGCTGCAGAGATAACAACGGCACGCGGCCGCGAGAAGTGGGGATGGAACACGAGAGCACAGAGAGACACGAACAGACGGGCCGAGTACCTGGCCCCACCTGGCCCCTTCCCTCCTTCAACACCCCTTTCTCCTCGTCCCACTCTCCTCCGCTCCTCCTCGCCCCGCCCCCTCCTCGCCCCCCTCCCTTCTTCATCCTCACCCCCTCCTCCTCGCCCCCTCCTCCTCCCTCCTCCTCCTCCTCCTCCTCCTCCTCCTCCTCTCGCCCCCTCCTCCTCCTCCTCCTCCTCCTCCGCCTCCTCCTCCTCCTCCTCCTCCTCCTCCTCCTCCTCCTCTTCCTCCTCCTCCTCCTCCTCCTCCTCCTCCTCCTCCTCCTCCTCCTCTTCCTCCAACTCGCCCCCCCTCTCCTCATCGCCCCCTCCCCCCATTTCCCCTGTTCCTTCCCTCGGGGGCTGCCCCTCCCCCCCCTCCTCGCCTGCGGGCCCTTGGGCGGCTGGCTGTGGTGCCCCTGCGGGGGCCGCGCCTGCGGGCGGGGTGGGCGGAAGGAGGATAGACGTGGAGGCGAGCTGAAGGAGGAGCGCAGCGAGGATAGGGGGGGGGAGGGGGCGGAGGAGGAGGAGGAGGAGGACGACGATATGGAGGAAGAGGAGTTTCTTAAGCGTCGAATGGGGCTGCGACCGAGCAAACTTGTCTTCTGTAACTTGGCCGTGGAGCCCGTCGCAGGACCCAATGGCCTTATCAGCGGAAGCCGTGCAGACATGGTGATCATGCCGTGCGCAGGCGAAATGTTTGCCGCTGCGCTGCTCTGCTGCGAACCATGTTCGAATTCCTGTCGACCTCTGAGCAGCCGTCGAGCACGGCACTGACATCAGCTCGACGCCTCCTGACCTTCCGGGTCCCGATGCGGCAAACGCACTGCGCCAGGCAGGAAGGCGAGGGGCAGGACGCTGGCAGGCGTACATACACCAGTGTGCCCTCGTGGCGGCACGCGCCCCCGCAACCCCCAAAAAACGAATGCAAGAGACTGATGCCCACGAGGGCTGATTAGTCGAAAAAGCGGATCACGCTGTTGGCCTCGGCGTCCAGCCAAGCCGTGTTAAGCTTGGGGTGCCAGCCAGCGGCTATCCGGACCCAAACAAATTTTGGCGCTCCGATGTTTGGCAGGCGCCCCACAACACTTCTGGCTGAAGTGCCTAGCGTAGTTACCAGTTGAAATCGCTTTGAACCTGGGGCAGATCCATAGACTGCCTCCGTCCGAGCACGCGAAGCCGATACACTGACGCTCCAAATCCTGCAGCGTGTCGACCTCGACACGGCCAGCCCGGCAGGCCGTCCTCGCATTAGCGGGAGGCGCCGAATGTGCAACAGGGGTGGTGGGGTTTACCACCCCCTGTGGCGCGGTCACCCGGGCCCCGTCTGGAAATGAGTGCGGGCGGCGGTGATCGGGCCGCTGTGGGGCCCGCCTGCGCCCCTGCGGCGAAAAGAGGGGGCGCCGGCTTTCCGCGCGCCTCGGCGGGCGCACCTCGGCGACCACAGGGATGGAGCGGCGCCGCCTGGGGGCGTCCCCCGCGGCGGCCCAGGGAGAGCGAACGACAGTTCAGGTGCCAACTGTGCTCGTGGTCCGTGGGAAGGGGGGAGGGGAGCCAGCAGTGGTGTGCCGCCCGGTGAGCGTCGAAGAAGGCTTGGGGGTCGGCAGGGAGGGCTGCCCCTGTAGCGACTGCAATCCAGAAAGCCGGTTGCAGGCCGCTCCAAGCCTGCTGCGCTCGGTGGAACATGTCGAGCAGCGGTGCCGACTGTTCCTGTGGGTGGGGCGACTGTACACCGGCGGTGGGAGTGGTCTTGCGATCCTTGTGTTGCTGGCTATTCGTCGCCGTGAGGTGCTGCGCGAGGCCTTGCCTGCGGTCCGTGGGTCGGTCCCGCTGGCCTGGTGTTGTCCCGAGGCTCGCGGCCGTCCCTGTCGGAGCCCCAGTGAGCCGACCGGGAAGGTGGGCTGCCCTGGGCGTGGTGCGCGGCCATCGTGCTCTGACGCCCCTCGGCGTTGGAGGGCTGGGCGTTCGCTGACTCAGCAGGGTGGTCCACGGCTCTCGTCATGGTCACGAGGGGTGACTGCGTGGGGGGAAGTCACTGTCTCCGTCGCCGTCCAGAGAAAGTCCGACCCCGAGCGGGTCGAGGTCCTAATCTTCGAAATCATCCGTGGGTGGGGAAGGGTCGTCAATTTCGTCGACATGGTCGGGACCTGGTGTCCCGTCCATGGGAGGTGGTTGGTCCTGCTTGTGCGCCGGGGCCACGTCCACCCTGACCAATGGTGAGCGGGTTTGGCGCCATCTTGGAGAATTCCGACCTGGAGTTCCCCGCTCTCCTGTGGGGGAGCGGTATCGTCTGGTGTCGCAGGTCGTAAATGGCGACGTCCGTGGTGTGGAGGACAGCGGTGAACTTGAGGCGCCACTTGGCGGCGTCGGCCGCGCTTTGTGGGATGTTGCGGAGCCTTGCTCATGAGGTGGCGAGCTCATCAACATGCCGGTTAAAAGCTTGGGCAGTCGGAGTGATACGCCCATCGCTGATGCCTTGCTCCCCCAAGTGGCACTCCACCACAACTCGGGTTTCGCTTGGAAGACCTGGTGGATTTTCTGCCAAAGATCGGTTTGCGGCCGCACAAGTTGTGGTGGTTTTCTGCTGAATGGGTCTTCGAACCCGTCGACGACCGCCTGGTTGTCGACGAAGACGTGTAGTGGCCTTTCGGCCGTGGCGACCAGATGAAGTATGGCGAAGGTTTCTGCCCGCTGCGCGAACTGTGCTAGACCGTGCACGCGGGCGGACTGGTTTAGCCGGTGGTCAGGCTCATGGTAGACCCCGAAACCAGCCGTGGCGGAGAAGGAGATAGAGAGGAGAGAGAGAGACAGGGAGAGAGAGAGAGATACATCCATATGTGTGTATATATATGTGTGCATACATAAAATGATAGACAGCGGGGGGGATGAGCGTGAGGATTTTGCGTACATGTATAGAAGAGAGAAGAATAACGAAATACATCTAAATACACAAAAGAGAAGAACATAGAGAGAGAGAGAGAGAGATAGAGAGAGAGAGAGAGACAGACGACAAGAGAGATATAACGTGTGCGTGTGTGGCGAAACAAACCAGACAATATTCGGACACCCTCCTCTCCCCTTCCATACCCTCGATATGTTCGCCCCCAGGCCGCCCCCAACCATCTCTGGTGTCGTCCCGCCTCTCCCGCCTCGTCCGCTCCTACGTCATCCCATCCCCTCTTCCGCCCCCTCCCCTCCTCAGCGCGTCGCCCAGCCCCGCTCCAGCAAAACCAGCTCCGCGACACAAGCCCTCGACACCTCGCTTGTGTTGCTCTTTGCCCTGCTCCCGAAGGCCCTTCCGAATTGAGCCAGGTCGGGTCGCTGTCGTCACTGGGCCCAATCATCCTCGCATCACTCCAGACAACTGGTCGCACGGATGAGCGCTCTTGAAGGCAGTGGTGATGATGGTGTTGATGCCCTTCCACTCTGGCGAGACAATAATCTCGGTGAGGAACACCCTGCGCGTCCAGATCGCTCACCGGAAGCCCTGAGCTCTAGCGGCACGCGCAAATGCTGGTCCTTCTGCTCTGTGTCCAGGTTTTCGGGCACCGCTTGAGCACACACACACAGACACTCTACGCCACTCGAGACGAGGGTGACCGACAGCTCTGCGCCAAGCCGCTTTCGCTCAGAAAGGTGGCTCCCAATGAGGGTCGGCCTGCTCAAAATCTGGCCTCCGCGTCGGCTCCACCAAGACATCCGCCTCTGTATCGGAAACCAGCACGGGGACCGTCTGGCGCACGAAAGGGGGGCTGAGGCGAGCCATGCAGTCCTCACTGCCGATGTGGGCGACAAAGCGGTAAACTGCACCCTGCTTGTATTTCCGGGCCAAGTCGATCACCTTTTCCCTGGGAGCGGCAACGGTGAAGCCTTTCTCGTGCCAGTCCGTGGCGAAACCGAAGGAGTGCCACCACACACCCCCTGTCTCTAGGCACAGCTGCTCGATGTCTTGCCGCAGGAGGGAGTTCTGCCGCGGCAAGAACTGGGGGTGCGCGTTGACTGCCCCAGAAGTAACTAGTCCTGGCTGCCTTCAATAAACCCACGAGGAACTCTGGGGCGGTCCAAGCACCATGGGGCCGACCACTTTCGGGGCAAATCGCTATCGAAAGTTAACACCGCCCTGGGCCACCCTGGGGGCCTGCTGAAGGCAGCCCGGACTACTGGGTCACCCAACTCCGCGTTCCACGCTGCGCGGAGCACGAGCCGCGATTAGCTTCGCGCTCTCGCACGGCCCCTTATGGAGAAGGGCAACCCTCCAGCCCAGACCGCAGGGCGCGGTCCTCTGCGCGACCCCGTGGGCGACCCGGGGGCCATCTCCGGGGGCTGTCCGCTCACGGCTCCCCCCCCAGGTCTTGCCGCTCTGCCGCGCGTTCTCCGCGTGTGGCCTGCCCTCGCCCATCGGGTTGGCGGCCGTGAGCCCGAAGAGGCCGTCGCTCGCCTCGGCCAGCGCTCGCGCGCTGGACACCCACGCGGGCCACGGGGCGGAGCGTGCGGCGCCGGCGGCACCTGCAGGGCCTGCGCCCGCGGGCCGCATGTACACCACCTCGCGAGCCAGGGGGGGGGGGGCAGGAGAGGGGGAGGGCCAGCGCCCCCCCCCCCCATCTCCCCCTCGCCCAAATCACATACGTACTTTCTCGTCCTTTTCTCCCTCCTCCCCTTCTGAAAAGATGGAAGCACCCTGGAACGGGTCTTCCTGGTATCGTCCAGTTACTTTCCCTCGCGGCCGGACCTCCTCGGGGCCCGCGCCCGGTGGCCCGATCCACGCGTCGAGGGCGGAAGCCCACAGCTCGCGCAGCGGCCCGCTGTCCAGCTCGCCGCCCGTGCCCTCCTCGTGAGGACAGCCCTTCGGCCGCGCCGCGCCCCCGCCCCCCACATCCCATCCGGGGGTCTCCGAACAATTCTGCCTCCGCGGCCGCGGCCGGAGGCCCGCAACGGTCCTCCGGACGCGAAAAAGCACAGACGTGCAGCGGGTGCTATGGGGAGCAGAAGGGGAAGCAGAGCCGAACTGAGAAACGAGGAGGTGGATCGCTACTGCTAGCGCTGGCCGGCCAGACCGCCATAGGCGGAGCCCCGCATCGGCCATTCCCTCCGGGCCCCCTCGACAAAAAAGATCTGCTGCCATGCCCTTCGGCACGTAGTGGGTTCTTTTATGAAAATGCCGAGAGCTGCAGGCAACTTGCTCGCATTCAGCTCCGTGCAGTCCTCTCCTGCCCGAGCCTACCTGAAAGCCCTGACGCCCCACAGGCGGTCTCGAACGATCCCAAGATGCTAACTGTGGCTTCCCAAATGGCCCGAGAAGGACTCCAATATGCCCAAGGAGCTTCGAAGTCGATCCAAAAGGCCTCAAAAGGTCCCCAGAGAGGCCCACGATGCCGCAATAAAACCAGAGGGGCACATGACTGCTGAGACGGTGCAGTCACCACGCAGAGAGGGCGAAGACGCCCAATGACGGTCCAAGAAGGCCCCAAGAGGTTCCCCAGACGCTCCCAAGAGGCCCCCCGGACGTCCCCAGGGGCCCCAGAGCCACCCAAAGACTCACCGAGGGGACCACAGGACGCCCCAGGGGTTATTTCAAGCCATTTCACTCCTCCTCCTCCTCGTCCTCCTCCTCCTCCTCCCATCTCTTCCCCGTCTCCTCTTCCTACATGCCACGACCTTCTTCTACTCTCCACTGGGGAAGCAAGCTGTTGAATATTACGTCCGATTTGGATCCTGAGCAGGGAGGCGTCGCATTTGACACCACCGCCAGCGACAACATCACCAGCGTCACAAACCCCGACCCCTCCTCGACATTAGCGAAGTAAGTCAGCGCCGCCAACTTCAAGCAGCTCGACGGCCACTCGCTCGGCGACAATCCCCACAGCCAACTCTACCCGTGACACTACTTCACCAATGACATTGGCTATGGACTCGTCCACATGCAATCCACTTACCTGGAGTCCAAGGATGGCTTCCCCTGGATACTCCTGGGACCCAATCGAGCCCAATATCAACACCTGGAAGTTCAACACGAAGAATCCGAAACTTTTTGAGCAACGCAAATGGGCCTATCAGCAAGCACTCATTCCTGCCGCAGTACGGTACTTCTCACAATTGCGGTGGGCTACGGATGACACACCGACGGCGCCGATGTAGGTATGCTGGGCTGAACTGGCATTGGATTTGATTGTCGCAACTGGTTTGCCTCTTGTCACTTCGCAAGAGAATGCGGAGACGCCACACTTGAGCGCATGGCAAGGTACGTTTCGACAGCAGCTGCCCGTATGGCCCTTCTTTGCAGCCGCCGACTTGCACCACGAAAAACGAAACTGGATAGATGTGCCCTTACGCCGCTGGGGATACGACAAGTTGCTGGCTTCCAATGTCGGCCTGTCCTTTTGAACCACGGGCACACTATGCGGGTTCTCTACTCAGTGGCTCTGGCAACTAACGACAAGCGTGCTGGCATTCGTGTGACACCTGCTTGGGGAACCATACCCAAATCCATCTGGACTGTACCGAAGCTGACGGAAAATCTTAGTGCAACCATTCGTGATTCTGATCTTGTTATACGTGCTACTGCTGCTGCGCGTGAGGTCGGCATCGTAAAGGAAGCGCAGAAACATATTGATGTGACTACGGTTCGGTCTACTGTCCAATAGACAACTGATGAAGCACGCGACCTACAATATCTACGAGGGCGCACTCTTCTACTGGAGTAAAACGTCTGCTTCACAATCGTGAGGCTACCCAACAGGGTTATGATGCCTGCGCCCCGCTCAGGGGGCCTGACAAGTAGCACGATCTCACGTTGCTTTATACGCAGTGCGGGCGCGAAAGAAGAGTGTCTCAAATCACGGCGTGGTCGCGATAACTACGCGGACAACGGCCGAGGCGTTTCGGCCAACGTCGGAAGGAGGCGGATTTGACCCAAATGGTTACTGAACGCAACGAACGCACTCAAAGACCTGGCAATCGTTGTCACTTTCCCTTATCCTTTCAATATGGCAAGCGTGGCAAGGAAGTGGAGTGTTCACATTGTGGCCAGGTATCACCTAAACGTCGCTGGGTCCCATTTACCGCTGCAATCTGTGGTGGGCGCTGATCTCTCTTTTAATGCGCAGGTTCAGTATGCCGTTTATGATATTTATCCGATGGCGGGGGCGTTAGGACGCAAATTCTGGTTCGACCAAGTTAGGGCCGCCACGAATGTATCCAGCCCCCAAGTCAACCGTTCCACAGGAGGCGAGGAACCAGAATGCGTGGGGCTGGCGGGCTCGGTTTTATTGGATGCAGCGAAAGGCAGCCCTCCCTGTCAGGGCTATACCTTGTTGCTCAGTGGCAGAGGATTGGCACCAAATACCAGATTGTGTTGCTGAACCGCAGCGGCCAATTTCTGTTCACTGCGGACGCGTGCCCAAATGAAATACCCCAATACAGACACGGATGCGTCGCTTTTGGGCACTGAGGACAATACCTATCACATGTTGCTGCTTTTCCGATCCTGAAGAACCGCGTGTCATCGAGGGACGGGCACTGGCACACATGCCACGGTATTCTGGGCGCTTCTCGAACTTTTTCCGCACAGAGCGCTGCGCCAGCACGACAGCAGAGCTCACCCCTGATGCGCCTGGAACTGTACAGAAATCCATAAGCACGGACCGCCCACGATTTTCACCTTGGTGTACCAACTTGCTGCTAGAGGGCAGAATCAACCATAACACTCCAACTGTCGGTTTGGTGGCTGGTATCCTAGAAACCAGCATTAAAAATCGCGTAAAGTGCGTGTCCGCTGCCTCGCTTAGACATCCCATTGCAGCGATGGCGCTGTGCACCGTCAGGCGAAGACGCACCTCTTTACACATTATTCTGCTCCTCCTTGCCACTGAGCATTTCTACCACGATGAGTTCGAGTCGCGTACAGTCTGGCAGTGACAACGACACCAGTAACCCATATCATCTTGAGCCTCAGCTACCTCTTCATCGAGCCATGGCGGTGGCAATGAATGTAAGGTGGAAGCGTGCTTACGCACGGATACCTTCACTGAACATGTGTCCCCAAGGTGGCGTGCAATACTGCTACAATCTATCACGTTGGACGGGAGGTCATCTGACAGAAACAGAACGTGCTTTTGGCCCAGCGGGGGCAAGACAACTTCACCGAGCAACACTTCAACGCACGCACAATCGGGAAACAACGCCACGATCTGCACTCCCGCTAACACTGGCGATACCATGGCTACAGGGTGCATGGGCTATGGCAACGCGGACCAGCACTTGAACTGCAAAGCAACAGCGCCTTATCATATCATCCACGTTTGCCCGCGTGTGCTTCACTGGTTGAAGGACGATGACAAGCCTAAGCTTCATCATCAGCCAACTCGCTTCAACGGTCTGTTGGCTGTGCTGCTACCGATTGCCGATTCAGAGCGGGTGCGGAAGACCTTTGGTGGCAGATGTAATAAAACAGCCATGGGAATAACGAGATCACGACTATATAGCGCCCCGCAATCGCGGATACGAGTGAGGGGGCTGCGGGGACGTCTGCAGTCTGCGATGTGCTGAAGAAGCCAACCGCAAGCGTTTGTTTGTTGTTTTGTTGTGAAGCAACAACAACACCACCACCAACAACAACAACGCCAACAACAACACCGACAACACAACCAACAACAACCACAGCTACACCAACACTAATAATAACAGCAACACCAACAGCACCACCAACACCACCAACAACAACCACACCACCAACGCCAAACACAATATCAACAACATAAACACCAATCATTTTAAAACTGTTCGTGCCATCTGCGCACGTGCCAGCCAACACGTATATCCCAAACCCTCGGTACCCGCCCCCGCCATCTTAGATCGGACCCACTTGGGGGACTTGTGGGTATGTCTTCTTGACCTGCCACGTGCATACCGTGCAGCCCCTAACCAGGGGAGAAGAGGAGGGGTGGAAGAGGGGAGGGAAAATAATGGCGCACGGGAGAAATTAACAGGAGGGGGACAAAGATCAGACCGCAAGTGGTATCACCAAACGGGCAGATCGGGTGAGCAGACCCATAGCGAGCAAGTCGGGAAGGCTGCCCCAGGCGACCAAATCGAGCAAGCGGGTTGGTGACGGGTGGGTCCTGCATGAGTCGCGAGGAAGTCTCGGGCGATAGCGCGATTCCCAAGTAAATCGTGAGAACGCCCACAGGGAGAGCGCGATTCCTGAGCGCCGAGGGCGCATCGTCTGAACAAATTGCGAGGAAGTCCCACGCGACAGCGCGATTCGCACATAATTTGTGAGGAAGTCCCGCGCGAGGCCGCGATTCTTCAATCCATTGCGGGGAAGTCTCAGACGGGAGCCGTTGTTGCTGCAGTTCGGGTGCCAGGGGCGCAGTTTGAGCAGGAAGGCTTCCCCTGATCAGAAAACATAATGAGATGTAGTGAAACAACCAGCTGGTGTACTCTGCGCCCCCCCCCCCCGCGCAACGCAACGCAACGCAACGCTACGCTACGCGCCATACTGCCAGGTTAGGGAGCCACAGGAAGCCGTTGGACATCGCCTGGGTCCCTCAGGCAGCCCACGTATTCCCACGAACTCAGCCTATGCGCGCTCCACCGAGCCGACCTCGGATCTGCAGACTCCTTCGGGATCGTGCTGCGAGATGCTATAAGATCCTTGGGGGATGCTATAGAATCCCTTGGGGACCCTATAGGGTCCCTCAGGGGTCCTGTAGAATCCCTCGGGGATCCGATAGGATCCTTCGGGGATGCTATGGCATCAGTAGGGGATGCCATAGCATCCCTACGGGGTCCTATACAGAATCCCTACGGGATCCTATAGGCTACCTGTGA